GGCGCTGATCCAGTAGCAGGGGTAGGGGCCGAGGGTTTCTTTGGTGGGGTCTTCGGCAGAACAGGGCCGCTAGCAGGAGGAGCTTTAGGCGGTGTCTTCGGCGTCGCCGACCCCGGCCCAGGCAGGGGTTCTTCCTCAGCTTCTGCACCACGCATCAGCCGGTTCAACTGCCGATGAGTGCGCCTCAAAATTGGCGATCTCGAGCGATCCCTGGCTGGCACATCTTGCTGCCGTTCGGCGCGATGGGCCAACCTTTCACCATTGCTGAGTCGCATTTGCGCCAGCAAATAGTTCCATCTCCCACTGTCCGTTCGGACCTCTCCACTGTCCATTTCATTTCGCATGCGCCGCAAGTCTCTTTCGAGTTGCAGCTCTTGCGGGGAGAGATCCATGGCTAGATGGATCAAGTGGTAGGCACTCTTGGAGTGGTTTCGGGATTGTAAACAAGAACCTCCAATGAACAGATGGGGACCACAAATAAACTTAGAGGAACCCTGAACTGGGGGTTTTAGGGTCTGAAGTGCATCCAAGTGGAAGTTGCAAGTGCTGGGAGCCTCCAAACAACAACCAACATCAACATTTGTGATAGCATGCTGGTAAGGGCATGGGAATGCACCAGTGTGGGCATACATCATGTTTAAGGCTTCTTCTGGCCTGCAGTCGGCACTCATTGAAGCGCATGGTGATCGCCATACCCATTCGTGGCAATGCATTCCGAAATAACCTGGGTTGCAGAAAGGTTCACCAATTAAAAGAAGTCTACTAACCAAAGACCTAGTGAGCCCAAAAGGTGGTTTGGGTAACCCACTCCTAGGGAACTTACAGTGCTCACCTTCTGGTAAATGGGCTGCTCCAACGCAGCCCCCAGTTAGGTCAGCACCGTAAGGGTGTTTGGGTAAACCCTGAATCTTAATTAGGGAAATCCCCTCATAGTTGCCAAGGATAGAGTTGCAACCATCGCTGTCAGAGTCTTCTCTTCTTCCTGAGTTGTGGCATAAGCTTGCACCAGGGAAGGTGAAGGGGGTTTGAGTGTTGCAATCTTTAGCTATTACACTACTTTGTTTGATGTGACACGCAGAGGAACTGTCACAGCATCCTTTCTTGCAACCTTGCCAAAATTGTGTACTACTGAAGGTCAAATCCTTACATAAATGATTGTGCTCATTTCCAATTATGAGGGGATTCAACTGATGAAGGAAACCTCCAATGAAGATCCACAGGAGGAAAGTTTGATAGAGGTGTCCAATCAAATTCACAAAGCTCACATTGCAATATTGATGACAAGGGGCTTCAGTCGACGTTTTTGCTTCCTTACCAGGTCTACTTGGTGAACAAGAGTGGAACACCTTATTAGGGAAGAGTAAGGAAGGGGACAGGGTTTTTCGACTTTGCATTTTAGTCGCGTCTGTAGTGTTGCAGGCGGGATGCTCCAATGCATCCCAATTGTTTGTAATGCTGTCATCCTGATGGCAGCCAATGTATGCAACATCAACATGTGCATTGCATGCATCAACACAACCCGATGCATCTACACACTCTGTGTACGCTGGAGCCGACTGAGCGCAAACGTAGGGATGTTCCATGACATCCAGGGTGAAACATGCATTCAGCGTTCGTTGTAGTTCGTCCTTGTAAGCCCGGCCATCAGGCGTGGAGGAACAGTACAGATTACATTCTTCACATGTGTCTGTTCGACACAGGCGCCACCAGTTGTACAGTGAGCCTCTGTGATGCATCCGAACCGTGCATCTGTGATTTTGCATTTCAACCAAAGTCTTCAAACACTGGCTAAAAGCCACAGACCTGTGCCTGCCCTGAAGGCAGCTGATATTAACGTGCACGCTTTGAGCTTGATTGGCCATCCTAAGGACACATGCTAGGGCCTTTTGGATCTCAGGGTGTCTCGCATGTCGGAGCAACGTTGTGGAGTGCAGGCCAGCGTGCTTGTGAAGATGTGGATCTCTTCCTGGATCGTCGTGATTATGCAAGCGGATGTTGATCTGTGCCTGGGCCTTGTTTTCGAATGCACTTGGTGCCATAGGCCTTTGCGGCGATGTTCCCCATGTCTCTATATAGAACTGTCGGCACCACGGCGGCGGTGTGTCTGGTTCTGTGGGTCGCAAGGGCCTCGATCCACTTGAACCAGTACTTGCCTCATTCATCTGTGTCTGTTGCTGCTCCAATGCAGCATCAACGCGTTCACCGCGCAGGCCACTTTCAGATCCTCTCATTAGGCGATTAAGCTCTCGCCTGGTTCTTCTTCTGATAGGGCTACGGGATTTACTGCGACCAATGCGTTTGGTCATGAGAGCCCGCATCACAACCTGATAGCGATTGTTGAGCTGCTGCCTTTCCTGGGTTGTTGTGGTGGAGTCATCAGTATCTAGCTCAGAGCGAAGGCTTCTGAATCTTCTTTCTAGCTCCACCTCTGCACGCGAAACAACCATGGCAGGTTCGCAGTTCCTAGCTTGGCAACAAAACCCACCCCAAAAGGAGGAATTGGGATCAAAACCCAGCCTTATAAAGGGATCCCTAAAGACGTCAGGGGTTGAGCTCCTAGTTGCATCCAGGCCATGACGTAGTGAGATTGCTCTGCAATCCTGTGAGCTGAACTCAGCTGAGGAATTTTGGCTGTAGTTTTCTGCAACTGCTCCAACGCAGGTGTTGTAACACGCTGTGACACGAACAATGTTGTCATCCTGAGTTACTTTGAGAGGTTTGGGTGAGCTAGGGATACTTTTCTGAAAGGATTCCCAGTCATTGAACTCTTCACTGAAAGTATATCCACTGTGATTGCAGGACCCAGGGAAGCTATGATTGGGTGAGCTTATCCGGGGAGGTTCCAACCCTAGACAACGCAACCCAAAAATGACAAGCAAATACCATATAGGCCAGCAGGTCCTTGTTGGCATTCCATTCTTGCTCGAGGTTCCTCGGTTCCTGAGCTGTTTTGGATGGCTGTTGCACTGGGGCATGGGCTGTGGGAGGCAGTCTAGGCAGGCTTCTCGGATCCCAAATGCGATTTCACCAGGGTCAAGAATACGGTTAGGGAACTTGATGCATTCAGCAAGGCCTTCATAGAATTTAGGTCTTCGATGTTTAATGGTTCGCTGAGGGTTGGTGGTACCTTCCTCATAATCACTTCCATTGCAATAGGCAAGGGCTTCAATGGGGATGGGACAGAGAGGGTCACAGGTAGCGAGGAGCTCAAGACCAGTTTTGGTAGGCAATGCCTCAAAGTGTTGATTACACAAAGTGAGGAAAATGGTCGGAGCGCTTTGTAGACCTGACGGAAAGATTCCAAATCCTCCTTTGTGCCAGACCGCTATGTTACACTGCAAGTACCTGGCAGCATACTTAATTGCAGTAGAATTGGCCCAGGCGTTTCGTTTCATAAGGTTGCGAATGTCCTTCCGTTCATGTTCGGAACACTCATAAGAACGCAAAGCAAAGATCAGGATGCGCGCCTTCAAGGAATACCACTTAAAGGGAAGCCTATGGGCACGTGCTCTCCAAAAGCAATTTCCATCTCCAACAGTAGCATGCGTTTTGAGATTTTGAACAGAGGTTGTACTTTTCACAAAAGTAGCTCCAGAAATCTGAGGGGGTTCCTGGCATTTCTTTTTCTTCTTCCAAAAAGCTTTTGGCTTGTGTGGTAAGTCAGTCAAATTCCAATATTGACTGGATCTGTGATGTGCAATGTAAATGCAGATCCCAACCAGGAAAATTCTGAGTAGGAGGCGCATGCACGGGTTGTAGATGCATCCAGTCTTGACCACTTTGTTCAAGCGTGCATCAAAATTTTTTGTGTGCAGATTGTTGATGAATCCTATGACCATCATCCAAAGATCATCAAAGATGAGGGCAAGGCACAGACCAATCAACATCAATGATGTAGGCTGTGGTGTCTGCACAATGCTTTTGTGATGAACAGGGATAGTTGCCGAATCTTGAGATCGGCTGACGACTGCAATCGAAGATGTGTTCCAATACACATCCTCAACGCTTTTGCTGGCAGATTGAAGGTTCTCCGTATCCCCTTCAGGTTTGATACGTTGGCAGGCAGGATGAATTACGGTGTCGTTGGCATGCATTCGGGCATTAGCGATCGTGATCTCCATGACGGAGGGGGTGTACAACTGCATAACCTGATTCAATGGGTACGCCCACAGAGTCAGGATGAAAATGAGGAGCATACTATTGCAGCTCTCTTTGTAGTCACTAGCCATTGCGCTTCTACGGAGGTGGAAGGCAACTATGTACAGCTAGCACTAGCGGCTCAAGCTACGGGAGAGCGAAGCTGGCGGCTTGAGCCTATTGGGTACCATAGTATCCCCAAATAAAATGCTACTCATATGGTGTCAGGGAGGCAGCGCAGCCTGCAGATGATTCAACACTCCCACTGCCCGCCTCCTTTGCAGAATCAAAGTTCCCAATGTCGTGCCCTTACAGTGGCGGAACATCAAAATTCATATGTACTATAGTCTAAGCTCCTTAAAGGGGGGTACATAGGGGATAATATAGGGAACTATTATAGGGCTTCTTAAGGGGGATACTAGGAGTTTAGACAATGGCACAGAAAGGGTCTGGGGGGGGGGTGGCGGGGACGTCAATGATTTTTCTGAACGCGAAAGCCCTAAGCCCAAACACCTACCCTCGCCCAAACTACTGCAGAACCCCGAAGAATTCCGTGAAACCTCTAACTGTATGAGCTATAATCTAAACTCCTAGTATTCCACTTAATAATCCTTCTAATGGTCCCCTATATAATCCCCTATGAACCCCCCCTTGAAGGAGTTAAGACTATAGCTCATAGGGGGGTTCCCTATTGCCGTGCGGGAGGGTACGGTATGGCCCTAAACCCGTAAACCCTAAACCTGATACCCTAAACCCTGAACCCTCAACCCTAAACCTGAAACCTTAAACCCTGAACCCTAAACCAAAAAACCTGAAACCTTAAACCCTAACCCTAAACCCACTGTGGGTACGGGCTGAGCAGCTTCCATGGATGCCGTCTGCACGTCTGGAGTCATAAAAATGCCCTGAGGCTGGGTTGGGTTTCGCGCTTAGGGTTTCGGATGCTCGTGGTCTGCGATTCATGATGTAGGACCCTGTGCCTTTGGGCTCAAGTACTTTGAGACTAGGTTTGATGTAGGATAAAAGGTTCCTGACTTGGTGTTTAAGATTCACATTTGCGCTCTTGATGCAGGAATTTCTTCCCAAGTCTCCTCCAAACTTACCCAGAATATGCCTCCGAATTACAAGGACAAGAGGTCTGCAGATCCAACCGTGTCGGACAGGGCTCTCCAAAGCCATAAGCCCTAAACCTTCAACCCTAAACCTTAAACCCTAAACCTTAAACCTAAACCTTAAACCCCAAAACTTAAACCCTAAACCCTAAACCCAAACCTAGCCTTATACCCTGAACCCTAAACCGCGTTCTTTTCTTGCTTGTTGCATCTTGTCCACGCTCTAGGACAAAACCACGAACTTAATGATGGGCTGCCGTTCAGGACCTCCACTCACGTTACCACAGTTTGAAAGATATAGAGCGAATGATATGATTTCCCCAAATTGGCAACTTAGGTTAGGTTCTTTTGAACAAATCACATGATTTCCCCGAATTGGCAACTTAAGTTAGGTTCCTTGAATAGCAACTCAGGAGGTTCCAGCTGAAGATCAACAACGCGCAACACCCAGACCAAGCACGATGCTTTCAGTTGCACTGGGCTTATTGAATATAACTACTATAATGTTTGAACGCATTGTATCACATTTTAAATGCATCATCTTCTGACTACCATCGGTTCTCGCAGTCTCAACCGCTCTGAAGAAGAAACCTACATTATCTCGCTCAAGCACAAACAATGAGTGGTGAGCTTCGGGCTGATATGAGCTATAGTCTAAACGGTTTAGGATTTAGGGCTTAGGGCATAAACCCATAGTATCCCCCTGAATAAACCCTGCAGTAGTCCCCTATATGATCCCGTTTATAACCCCCCCCCTTTCAGGAGTTTCGAGTACAGCTCAGATCTCTTTCTAAGGCGGCCCCTAAAATCCTCAACCCGGAAGCTCACACGCACGGACTCGTAATCCTGGGTTCTCGGGGGCCCCCTGCAGATGTAAAACCACAAAACACGTGACCATCTGAGTCAAGGCCGTAGGAACGGCAATGAGCGAAATATGGCTTAATGAAAGTTCTTGACGCTTATTGATCCGCAACAATCCGAGACTCCTTATCCCTTAGTGCATCATGGTACAACACTGGTTTAGGGCTTATAGTCTCCCTTAAGTAGATAGAATATGGCTTTGGGTATTTTTAATAAGATCCTCATATACCCCATATTCTATCTACAGGGGGACTATAGGGTTTGACAGAAGATTTGGGTCGACCAAAGTTGTGCCTGCAAGATGCTACAGGGACATGACCAGAAAATGCAAAACAAAAAAATGCTTTCCATAAATGGGGCGCCCCAATATGAGCTATAGTCTAAACTCCTTAATGGGGGTTATATGGGGGATTATATAGGGGACTACTGTAGGGTATATTAAGGGGAATACTCATATGGACCCCAATATATTGTAGTCATGAATACGGGGACCCAAAGGAGAACCCCTAATTTTTGGAAATCATCGAAAGAACACAAACAACATCAAAACAACTAATGCTCCCAGGGCACCAGCATGTTCAGAACCATCCATCCCAGTTCGTACCTGGGCACGTGGAAGCGTCCTTTTCGGGATCGTTGTTAAGGACCTTAAGCTAAGTTACCAATATTAGGAGACGACATTATTCACTATGTACACCCATCATGGTGCGAGTGGCTTTATTTAGGTCCTGACCTAAACTGCAATCCAGTTTTGCTTCACATATCTTGGCATTGCTGCCTGGTAGGGGTAGTGCAGACCCATGATTAATAAACCCCCTCCTTTTTAAGGGTCTTAATATTAGGATACCTGTTATAATCTCTATTATGGGGAGGGGGTTTATTAATCATGGGTCTGGGGTACAAGGGGCACCTAAGACACTCAAAAGACAAGAACTTCTCCATTGGGAGTATGTCCCCTTGGGGGAGACAGGGCTCTAAGTACCATCATTACTAGACCTTAGGGTTTAGGGTTTAGGGTTACTAGTATTGCTACTATTTCTATTAGTGTTATTACTATTATTACCTGTATAAACATTTTTAACAGTATTAGTATTACTCTATCGGAACCCCCAACCCTAAATGAGCTTTGCAGGTCGCAGGGCCCTGAAGCGGCTACCCACTTTGCCCTGAAAAGAAACCAGGGCCTTGCACTTTGGTGTTACAACTATTATCCAGGACCTTCCTTGCACCCTTAATTGGGGATATATGGTCCCTAATAGTGAGTACTTAGGCCCTAATAGAGGGTAGGGCGATGGTCTATTATTGCGACTGGTCCCATACATTATTACTATTAGTACTATTATTACTCTTCTTACTATTAATACTTTCAGTACTAATGGTGCTATTATTACTATTACCACAAATATTGTTCTGAGTTTTTTGGGGTGGGTTCAGCGGATTGAGGGCTGCAAGGGTCCAAGGTGTGTAGGAATCAAAGGGCTTAAGGATTTAGCAGTTCTAGCCTTTGGGTGTGAATAATAATTCAGGGCTCAGGGATTCTAGGACTGAGAGAATTTAGGAGTCATAGCGTTGTTTCTTACATTGTATGGAAACCCTAAACCCTGAACCTTAA